TTAAGAACATCTCAGCTGCGTCGCTTCGGGCAAGCGGCGCATCGCGCGCCGCCGCCTCTGACTGCCACCGTCCGCGCCGAGTTTCAAGTGTCGCGTGCCGCGTGACTCCAAGAGGTACTCAGAAACCTCCCTTGGCTGCGCGCGCCACATCATCGCTTTGAGGGCTCTCCACTCCCCAACCTCGATGCCCCTTAGTTGGCGGAGGAAACCATCAGGCCGCCAAGTGGCTAGAAGCGCGTGCTCAGGAAAACCCTTGGAACCTCCATATATAGGGCCCTGCGGTGATTTGAATGACGAAAGTCTCATGACGGAAGTTACTAGCGCAGGCCAGCTTCGTAGGAGTGATATTCCAGAGCCAGCAATGCCTGCCCTCTGTCAGTGTAGATGTTGCAAAGCTGCGCGTGGTTCTTCTCGGTCCATGGATGTTTGCGTTCGCGAATCTCGCCATGCATTACAGACGTGGCTAGGCAGTCTCTACGGAGCGGTGCGCGCCTCGCCTCAAGATGATTGCCACTTGGAACTTGCGCTTTACATATTGGCATATCGCCCAGGCACACAAAGCCTTTGCACCAAAAGGAACCAATGGAGCCAGCCGTGCGCGAGATGTTGCAACACCGAGCCCCCGTGAAGCAGGGCCACTCAAGTTCGCATTCCAAGCTGATTTTCATTTTTCTCCCTGGTTCCCTCCCTCTTCCTGCGGCGGACACTCATGCCTTCTATCCGCAGCAGGCCGATAAGAAGTACACAGCTGGCACAATCGAAAAGACTGTGGGCGGGGCAGGCAAGTGCCCGCAGCATTCCACGAACTGGCTCAAGAAGAGTTCCCGGCACTACTCCCCTAGGATGTGCGATGACCAGTTGAGTCAGCGCAGTACACTGGCGCCAACTTGCCAACCCTGCACCGAGGGCGACCCTCATGAGACAGGCCATTACCGCCAACCTGTTCTGCGGCCAGGAAAGAAAAAGTCCAACATCCCATTGAAATCGTACTCCAAACACACGCGCCATCATTTGAACTCGTCGTGCGTGCCGTCAACACCACCCTTGATCGCCAACAGGGTATACTTTCAAGCCAGGGTGCTGTTCAAGTCTGGGCTAGGCATGTCAGGGCTGGAAGAGTGCTTACCATCGAAGGCCCCAGGCCAAGGTTTCAAATGACTTTTTTCGGACCAACGTTGACCTCATGGTGGAGGTTGTCCTATGTGGAGACTGGGATGGATGGAGCATCCTGCTCCGCATTTTTGGGAACCTAGGTGTGCCCCTTTCCTGGCACTGTATGCCCATCAAAGCACTCCAACCCTCCCTTGCTTCTTCTTCGCGCTTTTCTACCAATGCGAGCTAGGTCATGTAGGCCGTGCCCCGACGGCCTTGCTGGCCATTCGCACACCCCCACTTGTAGCTAGGCTACGCCATGCACCAGGAGGTAGATTTTGTTCCGACGGCAGGGGGGTTCACACTACCATGGCCAGGTGGGGCCACGGACATAACAGATGGCACTCAGCAACGAAGAAAGTGCACCCGCATAGGGTGTGTCCGATACAGGCAGAAAGCACGCCCGAATCGTTACTACCCTCATTCCTCGGCAAATCTAGGTTTCTTGACCCACCCGTCGCCTCACGATGCAGTCGAGGTGCAGGAGTTGCGTAAGTTGTTCTGTTGACTCAGCTCGTTCTCAGCTAGTTCTTCTAACGAACGGAAAGTTTCAGCACTGACTACAATTTCTGGTGTTGTTGCAGGGAGGCGGAGAGGACCGAGCAGGAGGCAGCAGACGCCCTATGGAAAGATGCCGTAAGCCCCCCCCCGAACCCCACTGGCTCTCAGAAGGCGCGCGGACAAGGATTGCACCCAACAGGACTGCAGCGCTAGCTGGGAAGACGAGAGAGAGAGAGAGAGAGAAAGAAAAAAAAAAGAGAGAGAGAGAGGAATAACGAAAGCGGCACAGGCCGCAAAGCGTATTCCAGTTGATGCATCAGGCCTGTTTCCATCCAGCGTGCTCCGGCCCCCTCCCCACGTGCTATGTGCAGGCGGGTTCGCATCAATAGGTTAGCCTTGCGGTTGCCAATTCTTGATGTATGTGTGATCGGTCAGAGTTTCCAGAGGCTGGTGATTATTCGTGCTTGTGTTTCTTGATGTAAGTATAGCTAGTTATGTACCGTGGGTGTCTCTGTGCACATGATTTGGCCGAGAGTCCTGTTTGTTCTTCAAGGTGCTCGGCCCTCCGAGCTGGACACTCGTTGTAATTAGCTGGTAAATGATACACGCTGAGAGGAAATGGTATGCAGAGCAAGCCGTGCCAAGCTCGCAGCATGTGGTTTCTACAATCACCCTTGAAATATTGACAGGCGGGCGTGTTAGTCATACCAGGCGGTGGCGGGCGGAATGTCTCGCATACGGTCATGTCTGTCCTTGTTTATGTCCCTATCTGTAACTGCCCCGCCCCCGACGCGGCTGCGCCCGCATTTGTGGTCGGGGACGCCGTGGAAAACCATGTGGCCATGCACGAGAAGTTTGGTGGGAGGCGCAGGGAGGTGGGTTGCTCAACCACTACAATCTGGTCTTATTGTAACCACAATTCTATGCGATTTGCATCTGGTCGGCGGGCCCTCCTGAGGCCCTCGCTCATGGGCCCGTCGTGGGCAAATCTCGGTTGTTGCTTCAATGGGACGTGGCACCGCCTGGCAGTTGTGAGCTTGACTCACGCATTCGAGGACGAACGCACCGAACTGATGTTATGTTTGCTTCTCTCGCCCTCCCTCCCCTCCTCCCTCCCTCTCTCTCTTTCTTTCTGCTGTTGTCTGTCTTTCTCGTTCTCGTTCTCTCTCTCTCTCTCAGTCTTTGTCTCTCTCTCTCTCTCTCGCTCTATCTCTCTTCCTCGCTCTCTTTCAATATATCTCTCTCCCTCTCCTACATACACAAACAAAGTCATGTGTGAATGTACTCTGCTGTCTGTCTAATGTGGACTGGATTACCTTCTCTCTCTCTCACGCCGTCTCCTTCTCTCTCTCTCTCGCCCACCCGCATCATAATGTATCTACATGCAAGACTGCATTGGCGCCTCGCGCCATGCACCTTGTTCTTTGAAGCTTGGCATGCAGGCGGAAGTCGCGGCGGAAGGGCAGGAAGGTAAAGCAAGAACAGTAGCGATAATTCCTCGCTGCCTTGCCCGACCTCGTCGTCATAATACTTCCGTTCGTCATCTTTCTCTCATGCTTCCTCTCCCTCTCTCTCTCATGTTGCCCTCCCCTGTGAATTCTCCCCCATCCTCATCTGCTCTTTTTGCGGAGGCTCCTCCTTGGGGGGCTTCTTGGGGGCCGGGGCCTCCTGGAGGCCTCCCGAGCGCCTCCTGGGGGCCTCTGGGGGCTTCCTCGGGCCACCCTGCTTCCACCTGCGGTCTCCCGGCAGCGGGCCCCAATCGGTCAGGAGGGCCCCAAAGGGCCCCAAACACCCAGCAGACACCCGCAGACGACCCAAAGATCATCCTCAACAAGCTTTCGATCTGCGAAGACACATGGTGTTGGCAATGCTCTATTGCTGCATGATTGTTGTATGATTGTTGTATGATTTTGGGAATGCTCTATTCTTCAGTCTTTTAAGCGTCTGAGACCACCCAAGAGGCCCGACAATCAAGCCAAAACTATCAGAAAGGGCTTCCGGGCAGTCCAAGAGGCCCCCAACACGGCCCAACGGAGCTCCAATATGACCCGAAGAAAGCCCCATGACGGCCCAAGATGGCCTCAAGACGCCCCCCGAAGCATTCCAAATCGTGGCTGGGTCGTTCGGGTGGACCGCAGTTGGAAGCAGGATGGCCCGAGGAAGCCCCCAGAGGCCCCCAGAAGGCGCCCGTGAGGCCTCCAGAAGCCTCCAAAAAGCCTTGTGCAACAATCGTGAGATCCTCAAGAAGATCACCAAGGAGGAGCCTCCGCAAAAAGAGCAGAGGAAGATGGGGAAGAATTCGCAGGAGAGGGCGATAATGAGGAAGAGGACAAGGAAACATGAGGTAATGATCACGAATGGAAGTACTGCGACGACGAGGTCGGACAAAGCAACGAGGAAATATCGCTACTGTTTCTGGTTTACCTTTTCTGCCCTTCCGCCGCGACTTCCGCCTGCATGCCAAACTTCAAAGACCAAAGTTCATGGCGCGAAGCGCCAATTCAGTCTTGTATGTGTGTTCAGTGTATGTGTGTAAAACCCGATGTATCTCTATCAATTTCACCTACCTATACACCTCAGCAGAGACAACTATATAGAAACATAGATGCGCACCACGTACATATATGCGTAGATAAGTATCGATGTAGTTATCTAGATCTCCCTCCAACGAGCCATATATCTCTCTCTTTCTCTTTACCTGTTGTTCCTCTCTCTCTATGTATGTATGTATATAGATATTTCTCTCTCTCTCTCTCTGTGTATCTCCGTACGTGTGTGTGAATATGTAGGCCGGTTTCAATACGATCGGTCTGTACAGAACACACATACTGCGCTGTCTGTCTGTCTGTCTGTCTCTCTCTCCCTCTCACACGCTGTCTCCCTTGTTGTCTCTCTCTCTCTCTGTCTCGCTCCCCCCCGGCCCCCACTTGTACTTTTCCTTCTGGCCAGGTGCGCCTTCCCCGTTCAGGTGTTTTGGAGCACTGCCTCACCTTATATTATATGATCGCCGTCCTCATTTTTCATATTGGCCATCCTCTTGCTCATGACGCTCAATCTCTAGCTCCTCCTCCCCCATCGTCCTTTTCCGCCGTTAGCCTCCTCCGCAGCTTCTCCGTCTGTCCTCCTCCTTCTCCTCCTCCTCCCTCGTCCTCCTCCCTCGTCCTTCTCCTCCTCCTCCACCTCTTCTTCCTTCTCCTACCCCCTCACCATCACCGCCAGCATCGTCACCCTCTCATCGTTCTATGCTGGGCTGCCCTCCTCCTGCCTGCAACCTCCGCCGACGGCTGTCCAACCAGCAAGGCGAGTCGGGGCGCTGGCCGGCAAGATCCGACGGCCACGGTTCCTGCCCTTTGCTGGCGCCCGCACCGCGCGCGGGGGGAGGCTGGGCGGCGCCCGCAGATCAGCGGCTGCCCGGGAGGCCGCGGCCCAGGACGGAAGATCGCAACGCGACCTGGTTATAACGCTACGGCTGCGTGCGTCTCCTCCTCCTCCTCCTCCTCCTCCTCCTCCTCCTTCTCCTCGTCTTCCTCCTCCTCGTCCTTCTCCTCCTCCCCTCCTCCTCCTCCTCCTCCTCCCCCTCCACCTCCTCCTCGGACTCCTTCCTCCCTCCTCACTCTTCCCTCTTCCCTCCTCCTTCTCCTCCTCCTCCTCTTCCTTCTCCTCATCCTCTCCCCTCTTCCCTCCTCGTTCTCGTTATCGTTCTCGCCTCCTCCTCCCTCCTCCCCTCCTCCTCCTCCTCCTCTCCCTCCTCCTCCCTCCTCATCCTCCTGACCCCGTTGTCGCCATCGTCCGCCTCCTCCCCCCCCCCCCCTCCTCCTCGCATCGCATCGCATCGCATCGGTAAGGCTGGAAGTCCGTAGCCTGTACAAGGGTGAAGCCGAGCAGGACAAAAGAGCAGAGCGCGAATTCATGCACAGGAGAGAGAAGGGGAGGGAGGAGGGCCCAGGCCTAGCCCTGGCTACCGCGAGGGCAGTTGGGAGGCCCATGAGCCATGCAGTCATCCGCCATCTGATGCTGAACGTAGGGGTCGAGCGGCACGTGGAAAGCCGCCGCCCATTCAGGCAAATCCCACTCGGTCAAAGCGCCGCGCGCGCTGGTGAAATTGCGATGATATCAGCAAGCAGAGAGGAGGCAAGATGACGGCAGAGGGCGCTAGGATAGACTTTCGCACGACCAGTCACCCAGGAACGATCGCCGTTAAGCCCAAGGAGCGCCACGTGAGCGCATCCCCCACAACGGCCTCTCCGAGGCCTGCAGTCCGTGAGCCCCCGAAGCGCAGGACAGTGGACCGAGAGAAGCCGCGTGGGCTTGAGGGATGGGCTGCCAAACTGACACTGATCAATGTCGACAGCCTGCACATGGGGCAATCGGGCAAGCCTGACCATTTCGGGGAGATGCCAAGAAGAGGGGGTGCCAGGCCTGGGGTCGCGCGGGGCGGGATGTTCCATGATACAAGGAACTGAGTACCTCCAACACTGATACATGAACAGTATCATCGTCTGAAGCACGAGTTGCCGAGACCCACCTGTTCCGCCTCACGGGGCCTCAGGAAGGGCAAACCCCAGAGCTGATCGGGGGACCTGACGGGTCGGGGGGGCCGAGTGGCACCCTCGCAAGGGAGATGGCGAGCCGCGCTCCAGGTTTCACACGGCGGTCCTCCCAGCACGCCCAAGACGCGCCCCTGGGCCACAAGGTTCAACCAAAGACCCACCGTCTCGGGATCGGTGAGATCCCCTTTGGTGGCAGAGTGCGCCACGTCGATGCTGAGTATGTAGATGCGCATGGCATGCTGCTGCAACAACTCTTCAAAGTGGTGCTGGACATCCTGCTCTCTGCGATGACCAGAGAAGAGATGCAACGCGTATCCCTGCGACTGAGCGGGCGGGGCTTGGGGTCGCAGTCCCTCAAGAGGGGGGGGGGGGCGCCCTCCTGCGGGGCGAGAGGGAGATGGACAGCAGCCTGTTGAACGAGGGTGGCGGTGGGGAGGGCAGGTCCCTGGAGTCTGACGACTGGGAGACTCGCAAAGTTGTCCTGCCTGCCAAGCGACCGATTCTTGCTGTGCTGCTTTTTGCGTTCGAGAATCTGCTCCAGGATCGTTTCTCTCGGGAGCGGGTGCGTGGCCTGCCACTGAATCATGCTCTGTCTGCAAATTTCACGCCTGTGCATGTGCTTGAGCAGACGAGCATTATCGCGAAAATCCTGGAGACAAGTCTGACACAAGTGTCCAACGACGCACAGCTCGGGGGTATCCTGGGACTTGTGATACTTGGTGCGATGGATGCGGAGCTGGCGAAGCGAAGGATGCACATACCCGCACTCATAGCAAAGAAAGGAGGCAGGCGGCGGCGGCGGCGGGGCGGCAGCGATCGTCCCAGCTATGATGATATCAAGCTTTTTGGACCACGGATGCCGCTGACCCTCTTGCCTCTGAACAAAGATGGCGCTCTTAATGGCAGCGTTGAGAGCAGTTCTGAAGCCTCTAGGGTCACCAATGAGCCTGCGAATCCACCCCTGAAAACATCGCCCTCGGGTCGTTCCGCGGGACAAGAGTGTTGATCAAGCCGCTCAAGGTCCTGGCGAACGAGGGCCCCCCAGGAGCCAGCAACGCCCCAGAGAGTGTCCAGGAGCAGCCTGAGAACTGGCGGGGCCCTGTCGGGAAGCGAGGCACGAAGCAAGTATCTGAGCCTGGCAACGGTCATAACAACACTTATGGGAAGCCGTTCGACGCGAGAGATGATGTCTTTGTGCGCAACCTGGAAATTATTGTTGTTGCTCTTGGGAAGCCCGAGAGCCGTGCGATACACCATGGCATGAGCGGCCTGGACTTTCTGCAAGAGAAGCGCAGAGAGAGGATCCCACGTGCAATCAGCAAAGAGCAAGACAGAAGAGGAGAGGGCTTCGCTGAGAGCGACGCGGGCCTTCTGACCCAGAGCCTGCCGTTTGGCCACAGTCGCTCGGATCGGTTTTAAGGCTTGCCTGGCGCCCGAGATTCGGGCAACGATTTCCGGAGCCATAGAGCCCCCCTGGTCGACCCGAACCCCCAGGACTTTATGCGTGGCAACCACCTGAACACAGACACGCCACTTGGGGGAGATAATGCGGGGAGCCTCTCCACAGAAGGCTTGAAGCCTGGCCGCCTTGGATCCCTTCCCACGAAAGGCGAGCATGATGACAGTCTTGTCAGGATTCAACTTCATCCCAAGACGACTGACCCCCTCATAAAGAATGTCAAGCGTCTGCTGCGTGATTCCTAGGAGATCCTTTGCGCGCGTAGTGGCATTGACAATGTGCATGTCATCGACAAACGAAGTGGTGGGGCGGGCACTTTCGACGTCCTTGGGTCTGGCAAGAAGGGGGGGGGGGGGCCGAGGGGAGCTCCCAGATGAGCCCCCTGTCTTGCATGCTGGCGTCAACATAAAGATGCACCTTGGTGAACACAAGATTAAAAACATCGGTGGCAGGGATGGTGCCAGGTCTAGTGCCCGTGCGGGGTCGAACATAACCCTGACTGCCCTCAGTCTTCCAAAAGGCACCAGACTGACTTTCTTGCAAGAGGGCAAGCAAGTGGGAAGAGGGGGGGGTGTTCTCGAATACGGGCCTATCCGTTTCAAGCTCAAGGCCAACCGCATGAACAAGCAAAGGTGGCAAGTCACAAGTGAGAAGGATGCGAGAGATGTCATCCTGATCCTGCGGCAAAGAGAGAGCGAACTGTCTGATGACGGAATAGAAAAGCATTGGAGAGATCAAGAAAGATGGCTGTGCTGCTAGCCTTTTTGTGTTGAGCAATCCAGAGGTGTCGCAAGACCGCCCAGGGAGGCCACCCTGCTGCGACGACAGCAGCACCTGTTGCAGAAAGTCCAGCGCACGACCCCTGACGAAGCGATGGAAGAGTTTGCCTATGGTGTTCGCCTTCAAGATATTGCGCTGATTGCGCGCCAGGAAAACTTCTTTGGCTCCTTTATAGAACCAAACAACCCGCCCGTCTTTGAAGCCAAGGGGCTCCTTTCCTCCCATGGACGTTTTGCAAAGCAGGGGAAGGAAAAGGGCGGTCATCGCCTCAGGCGCAACGTGTTGCAAGGCGTCGCGCAGCCCATCAGGGCCAGCAGCAGCGGTCATAGAGGCCCTTCGCATGAGAAGCTGGACATCGAGATGGGTGGGAATGCATCCTGACTCGAGTGGGGGAATCTGGCCAGCAACAGCGGCATGGGGCTGCAAGGCAAGAGAGGCGGGAGCGATGCACTTCCCATCCCACGCATAGTGCTGTGTCTGCTCAAGAGGATACTCTGCAGGAAAATTGGGACTCCAACACTCGCGTGCAACCCTTTCCTCAGCTCGCGGCCGAGGTAAAGAGCCAGTAGAGCAGGTCCCTCCTTTATCTTCACTGTATCCTGGTTTCTTGAGTGACATCGGCGCGTTGCCCCCTCCCTCCGCGCTGTCGAAGCTGTCGAGGTCGCGGTGCGGGTTCACGATCGGGGGGGCGGCGGGCGCGGGTGCAAGCAAAGAGGTAGCACCGGGAGCAAGAGATGACACAGCAAGAGGGAGCTGCAACGGACCAGGCGGGTTTGGGGATCCTCGTCATGCACCAGCGTCGTGCCTCCTTTCAGTCTCGGGGAAGGGGGTGCCACAAGCGGGGGGAGCCTGAGAGCACACAGGGGGGGGGGCAAGAGGGGGGGGCGTCCTGTTGTAATAATCAACAACCTCTTGGTCGGTGAGACCCTGCGCTTTCTCAATGCCTCCGAAGAATTCTTGCATGTGCTGCGCCGCCAGATCAGAGGAGGCAAGCGGGTCACCCTGGCGATCGAGCATGTACGGGAAGGCCGTGGGCTTTTTGTTACGCCCCCCGAAGCGCAGAAGCTTGTGGTACCTTTGCCAGGCCTGTCTGGCCATGCCCCCGTCGACAGACAACTGAGCCTCCTGCGCAATACCTTCGAGAAAGAGAACCCTGTCTTTTCCGAGCTGGTTGGCAAGAGCATGCTTGGATCTGAGAATAAAGGCATGGAGGGCAAGCATGAACTCGTCGTGGTGCGCAGCGCCGTTGAGACACCGAAGGGCACCCTGCCTCACAGAAGTGTAAAGGGCGTCCCAAGGAGAGTCCAGGAGTTTTTTGTGTCCCTGGCCGAAGTCCCCACTGGTCCACCGACCCGCAAAGTGAGAGAGAATCCTAGGAACCGTGGCCCCAGGAGGCAGTACCGAGGGACGCGCCACCCTGCGCAAGACACGAAGGGCTCCGCGGCGGGCAAGCACAAGCAGGTGGGAGGAAGCAGAGATGTACGACTGTCTGGGACGACTCCCTGGGCGGGTGAAAACCTCCTTCGCAACTTGGCTAACCTGCTTGGTGACCGAGGTCATGTGTTCCGATGGGGAAACTGACCATCCTATGGGGGGGATCTCCGAGAGACGTTCCTGAAACTGCGCGACTCTGTCGGGGTCTCTGAGAAGGTCATCGTCCAGCCGTGTCGACGAGGTTTGAC